GCCGAGATCGCGCCATTGCACTCCAGCCTGGGTAACAAGAGCGAAACTCCGTCTCGGAAAAAAAAATAAAAATAAAAAAAAATAAAAAAATAAAAATAAAAAATAAAAAATGATTTAAAAAAAAAGTCACAAGATAAAATTATGAACTTCCTATACATAAAATTTTAATTTTAGATAAAATGGACACACCTCTAATAATTTTCCAAAACTGATACAAAGAGGAAGCAACCAGAAAGATGTGAAAACTCCACATATCTGAAAGAAACAACATCTATAGTTAAAAGCATTCCCACAAACAACGACGGTAATTCCAGGCTAAAATGGCTTCAACGATGAATTCTTCCAAACATTAAGGAAGAAATAACCCTATTTTGCCCACACTCTTCCAGAGCACAGAAAACAAGAGACCACTTGCCAATGCATTCAATAAAGCCAGAATCATCTTGACACCAACACCTTCACAAGCACATCATGAGAAATGAAAATACAAGGCCAATCTGCCTTATGAATATTCAAGCAAAAATCCAGCTACATATAAAAATATCATCGTCAAATTTACTTTATTCTGACAACGCATGGCTGGTTTAACATTGGAAATCAAGAAATGTAATTCACACATTAACAGAATAAAGAAAGAGACCTATGTAATCATTTTGATATACATAAAAGCATTTGATAAAATTCAAGCTTAGGCCAGGTGCAGTGGCTCATGCCTGTCATCCCAGCACTTTGGGAGGCTGAGGCGGGCAGATCACCTGAGGTCAGGAGTTCAAGACAAGCCTGGCCAACATGGTGAAACCCTGTCTCTACTAAAAATATAAAAAATTAGCCGAGCATGGTGGCAGACGCCTGTAATTCTAGCTACTTGGTAAGCTGAGGCAGGAGAATCGTTTGAGGCCAGGAGGTGGAGGTTGTAATGAGCTGAGATCGCACCACTGCACTCCAACCTGGGAAACAAGAGCCAAAAAAAAAAAAAAAAATTCAAGCTTAAAAAAGACTCAGCAAACTAGTAACAGAAGGAATCTTTTTTTTTAACCTAATAATTACAATTTACAACAAATCTACAGCATACTTAATGATGAAATATTGAACCCCCCCACCAGATATTAGGGGACAAAGATGCCCACTTTTCATCATCTATATATTCAGCATTGTACCAAAGGTTCTAGTAAATATAATCAAGCAAGAAAAATAAATAAAAATTGTAAGGGCCGGGCATGATGGCTCATGCCTGTAATCTTAGCACTTTGGGAGGCCGAGTTGGGCGGATCACCAGAGGTCAGGAATTCGGGACCAGCCTGACCAACATGGAGAATCCCTGTCTCTACTAAAAAATACAAAATTGGCTGGGCGTGGTGGCACATGCCATAATCCCAGCCACTAGGGAGGCTGAGGCAGGAGAATCGCTTCAACTTGGGAGGCAGAGGTTTCCGTGAGCCAAGATGGCGCCATTGCACTCCAGCCTGGGCAACAAGAGCGAAACTCCGTCTCAAAAAAAGAGAGTAAAAATTTGAAATGAAAATCAGCATTTCACAGATTACATAATTATGTATATAAAAATCTTCTGAAGTCTATAAACTTAGAATTAAACATCAATTCACTTCTAGATATGAGAAGAAACAAAAATGCGATCTGAAAAATGAGATTTACCAGGAATGTCAAAACTTCAAAAACCCAGGAATAAATCTTTTGGAAGATGTGGAAGACCTTTATATAAAAATTAAGAAAAATCTTTAAAAAATTAGATATACCATGCAGATGTCAGTTTTTACCAAATTATCTCTAGTCATTGTAAACCTCATCAAAAATCCCTGGAGATTTGTGCCTTCATGTGTGAAACTAACAAACTGATCCTAAAATTTATACCAAAATGCAAAGGATCAGTAGCAAAGAGGCCAGGCTCAGTGGCTCATGCCTGTAATCCTAGCACTTTGGGAGGCCTAGCTGGGAGGATCACTTCAGCCCAGGAGTTCAAGACTAGCCTGGGCAACATAGTGAGACCCCCATCTCTACAAAAAATACAAAAATTAGCCAGGTGTTGTGGCAAGCTACTGTAGTTCCAGCTACTCAAGAGGCTGAGGTGGGATCACTTGAACCTGGAAGGTTGGGGCTGCAGTGAGCCATGATCACACCAGTGCACTCCAGCCTGGGCGACAGCGAGACCCTGTTCAAACAAACAAAAAATGAACAGGCAAGACTATCTTGAAGTACAAAACTGGAGGGAAGTTGTTTCACCAGAAATCAAGAAATAAAGGCTTGTTACAAGGCTACACTAATTAAGAAAGTGTGATGTTGGTACAAGCAGACAAATAGGATAATGGGACAGGTAAAAGATTCCAGAAACAGACCCCCGTGAACACACCTGATTTATGACAAAAGTAGCAGTGCAAGGCACTGGAAAATGGATGATGTTTTCAATAAACAGGGCTTGGTCAATCAGCTGTTAAAGGTGAAACTTCTGGAAGGTAATAGAATATATTTATGACCCTGGGTAATAACTTCCTCAAGAGGACATGATATGCACTAACCATGAAAGAAAGGATGAATAAATTCGACTATATTAATATCAAAAACTTATTTTCTTCAAGACACCAAGAGTGAAAAGCCATGGAGTAAAAGAAGATACATGCAATGCATAAAACCAATAGGGCTCCATAACTAGAAGACATAAAGAACTACAAATCAATAGGTTAGAGACAAAAAAATCCAACAACAAAAATAAAAGACTGAAAGAGGTATTTTACAGAAAACAACGACCAAACGCCAGTAAGCATATAGAGATGCTCGGTGTTGTTAGTATGTAGAGAAGTGCAAATTGAAATCACAAGATTATCACTGCACACTTTCCTGAACAGAAACAATTAAAACTACCAGCAAAACTAAATGTTGACAAGCATATGGAGCAACTGGAACTCATAAGCTGATGGTGGGATCAAACTGGTATAACCACTTTAGTTATACGACCCAGTAGTTTTACTTCTAGTTATACACCAACAGAAATGCATTCATGTGTGCATCAAAAGACATGTTCAATGAATGTTCTTAGTAGCATGGTGCATAACAGCCAAAAATGGGAAACTCAAAGGACAATACATGGTGAATATGGTCATACAATGAAATCCAATAAAAAGAGCAAGGACATGACTTCTGGCACAATTAATTCCCCTTCTATCCTACCAGTGCTACGTCCCCAGCACTCCATTTGATCCTTGTCTCTCATTCATTAAATTGTTTTGTCGTATGTTTTCTACCTCATATGTTGTTGAAGCAGATAGAGTAAAAATGAGTTAATATGCCTGCTAGTTCTTAAAGGAGCTAACAAATCCAAACAAAAGATGATTGCAATTCCAGTTACATTAATCTAAATCCAGTCTCAAGTGACTTTATGCTGAGGTGAAGTATCCTGCTCAAACTCTTAAATCATTTTGGGCAAAGGTCACATAGGCTTCTTACTCATATCCTTGTTCTTCTTAACACTTTAAAAAGGTAAAAAACAGGCCAGGTACAGTGGCTCATGTCTAGAATGCCAGCACTTTGGGAGCCCAAGGCAGGGGGATCACTTGAGCCCAGGAGTTTGAGACCAGCCTGGGCAACACAGCAAAACTCCATCTCTACTAAAAATACAAAAATTAGCAGGGCGTGATGGCACACACCTGTGGTCTTATTTTGGAGGTGAGGTGGAAGGATCCTTTGAGTCCAGGAGGTGGAGGTTGCAGTGAGCTGAAATCGTGCCACTGCACTACAGCCTGGGGGATGGAGTGAGACCCTGTCTCAAAGAAAAAAAAAAAATTCTTAGTTTGTCAGCTGTTAAAAAAAAAAAAAAAAAAAAAAACACAGTCTGAGACCTTAGTTTGTAGAGCCCTATGGTTATACCTAAAGGCAGCCAGCTACTGTGAGGAATAAGAAACTATTAATAGTTCTCAGCACTCCCCCTTGTGGACTCAAATGACACAGACTACTCAGCACCACACACTCCATATGTCCATCAGTTCCTTTCTTGGCCAACTGTGGATTCCCAATAGCTGACCAGGAAATAACTACTGTGAAGGCAGCACAAAACAAAATATTTTACACAACTACCAAGGACAGTTGAGCAGCTGTTAAAAGCACAAGCTATGAAGTCAGACACACCAAGGATGACCTTGGATAATCCATGTCCCCATCATCATCCCAGGGTTAAGTAAAATAGTGTTAAGTAAAATAATATAATTGGAGCACTGCACACAGGACTCAATATTGGCAGGAGATTAAAAAGTGAAAGGCAGAATACTGGGTGCTGTAGGGTTTTAAAAAAAAAAGTGAAAGGCAATTGGTGATACATAGAATGCTGAACAGTAAAAGGTAATCAGTGGGTAAGAAAATGGATCAACTTCCCATGAAACAAATCTTTGCAATGAGCTTTACAACACTAAAGCACCTCCGAGCATCTGTAAAACATGACCGACCATTAATCAAAATAGTCTGACCTTTGAAAAACACAGGTTTGAACTGCATGAGTCCCCTTACACGAGGATTTTTTTCAACCAAATGCAGATTGAAAATAGAGTATTCGCAGGATGTGAAAACCCAAGCATATGGAGGGTCAACTTGTCCTATGCGTAGGTTCTGCAAGGCCTACTGCAGAATTTGAGTATGCAAGGGTTTTGGTATGCGCAATCTTGGAAGCAACTGCTGGTGTCTGCTGAGGGATGACTTTATAAAAAACTCCATTTTAAGAAAATTGCCATTTTTGCATTCTAAAATTTGACAAATTACAAAGTAGATAAGCTTACATGCAATGCAAATAGCCAATGAGATGAAAAGGTACTAGGTGCTGCTCAAGAGTTGACTGTTGCCTTTTATTTCAAATACTGGCACTTCAGTCCCCACCAAGTTTATCAATGCTTTAATCTGCTTTTTTGGTTTTAAAGAAGAAAAACTGGAACAAGACAAATAGCAAGTACGTCCATTTCCCAAATGGAAAATATATATTTAAATAAGGACCATACTGTACACCAAATGTAAAACAAATACTTTTATTGCACATTTATAAAATCTGCATAGTTGTATCAAGTGTTCTTCCCTTTCATGATTCCTCGATTACTCTTTAAAAATTTGGTTAAAATACAATATCCAATCAGAAGCCTTTTAAAAATGATCAACAGGAAATATTTTTCTCTACATATACATATATATAGTTTTACGGATGTATGGTGCTTTCTTTCTTTCGCTTTATATTTTTTCTTTTTTTCTTACAAATTACTTTTAAGGGCAAAAAAGAAGGCTGGGTGTGGTGGCTTGCCTGTAATCCCACCACTTTGGGAGGCTGAGGCAGGCAGATCACTTGAGGCCAGGAGTTCGAGATCAATCTGGCCAACATGGTGAAACCCCGTCTCTACTAAAAATACAAAAATTAGCCAGTTGTGGCACATGCCTGTAATCCCAGGTACTTGGGAGGCTATGTCACCAGAATCACTTGAGCCCAGGAGGCAGAGTTTGCAGTGAGCTGAGATGGTGCCACTGTACTCCAGCCTAGGCAACACAGTGAGACTATCTTGGGGGAGGGAAAAAAAAAAAAAACAAAAAGGAGGCAGACCAAAATGGTCTTTGGAGCCAGTAGTAGCCTTAGACCATTTCTGACAATTTTCAGATATTAGAAAATTTTACCTAAATGCCTAACAACTATTAACGCATGATCTTTAGTCAAGTTACAAAATGCTATTCTGTCTGAAGTCCTTAATGGTTTCGTTTCTTTCACTGAGGACTGAGTATGAGGTTTTCTGGTTTATTTAAAGATAGAAAAGAAAGGAGAGAGACAGGTCTCCTTTGACTTTTCAGCATCTTACTGCCATGTGACCTTACATTCTACCCACATGTAAAAGGGTCCATCAACAACCCATCTGTCATCTCCTGTCAAGAGCCAGGCAAGGTTTGTATTTCTAATCTCTTGTAGTGAAGAATTTTCAAAAGTCATCTGTATTTGATAAAATAACTAGTAGCTGTTCATCTAGTTCAGGTTCTCATGAATCATTCTATTCTGCTGTCAAAAATATTTATGCCTGAAGGATAGTTTTAAAAGTGGCAAGGCTAAGCATTGTTCTAGGTACAAGGCATTTCAGGTCTTCTGGCATAATTCAACACCTTAATACACTGGTTTCCACCTTTTCTAGTGAAATAGCTTTTATGATTTTGTACCTAAAAAGTGCAATTTTATTTTCAATCCTTCTTTACACACCCAGCATGGTTGGGGTCTGAATTGGAATCTTATGTGCCCACCTAATCCTTTTCCCAAGGTGAGCACTGTACAACGGACTTCTGTGCAAGGGGCAGGCAGCCAGAAACCAGAATGGGCCTTGAACACGTGGGAGCTTATTTCACTGTCACAGTTGAAACTCCTTGAATTGACTCCATGACAGCTGCAAATCGGCTACATAGGTCATAAGGAGAATTGGGTCGAATAGTTGGAGGCTCCTTCAAGACAATGATTTCTGCAGAAGGATCTAGAAGTCTGGGTAGAAACTCCCCTAGGCACAGCTGCAGATTTTCTGTGGAGGGAAAGCAGATGGTTACATATACAGCCCAACAGATCTCCAAGTAAAAGTGAACAAGCCTGGAAGGCCTTCTATTAGCCCCTTACCTAACTTCAGAGGTCAAAGCATTATGCTAGCCAGCTAATAATAAATGATGATTCCTTCAGGCAAACCAGGAGCAAATGCAAATACATCAAAGTTTTAGGTCACTGCTTTAGGCCACCTGATGTTGGCAAAATAACACTATATATTTACTTCATTATGAAAGGGTCTTCTAATCAATTGTCTTTTTTCAATATGAGGAAGTAGATATGATACTCTGACATAGATATGATGGTAATACTTTCTTTCAAATGTTTACAACATGTCAATGTATACACATGGATTTAAGTAAAGCTACATATCATACATGGTCTAAATCAGGGGTATACAATCTTTTGGCTTCCCTGGGCCACACTGGAAGAATTGTCTTGGGACACACATAAACCTCACTAACACTAACAATAGCTGGTGAGTTTTTAAAAAAATTTGGCTGGGCATGGCAGCTCATGCCTGTAATCCTAACATTTTGGGAGGCCACGGCAGATGGCTCACGAAGGTCAGGAGTTCAAAACCAGCCTGGCCAACATAGTGAAACTTCTAATAAAAAATACAGAAAAGTTAGCTGGGCATGGTGGCGCATGCCTGTAGTCCCAGCTACTTGGGAGACTGAGGCAGGATAATTGCTTGAACTTGGAAGATGGAGGTTGTAGTGAGCCGAGATTGTGTCACTATACTCTTGCTTGGGCAACAGAGTGAGACTTCGTCTCAAAAAAAAAAAAATCTCAGAATGTTTTATGAAAGTTTACAAATTTGTGTGGGCCTCAGGTTAGACAAGCTTGGACTAAATAAAAACTGAAGACAGTAAAGGAAAAGACATGGCAACTAGTCATTACAGAATTTGTTTTTGTTTTGTTTTTAAGAATTTTTAAACATTTTTTTAAATAAAATAAAGACGGGGTTTCACCATGTTGGTCAGGCTGGTCTTGAACTCCTGACCTCAGGTGATCCGCCCACCTTGGCCTCCAAAGTGCTTGGATTACAGGCATGAGCCACCACGCCCAGCCCAGAATTTGTTTGTTTTTTGAGATGGAGTCTTGCTCTGTTGCCAAGGCTGGAGTGCAGTGGTGTGATCTCGGCTCTCCACTACCTCCACCTCTAGGGTTCAAGTGATTCTCCTGCCTCAGCCTCCCAAGTAGCTAGGACTACAGGTGCCCACCACCATGCCCATTTAATGTTTGTATTTTTAGTAGAGATGGGGTTTCACTATATTGGCCAGGCTGGTCTCAAATTCTTGGCCTTGCGATCTGCCCACCTCGGCCTCCCAAAGTGCTGGGATTACAGGCATAAGCCACTGTGCCCAGCCCAGAATTTTTAAATAAATACTATCACCTTACACACTTGAACAAGTCAATAGAATTATCTTTTTTTTTTTTTTGGAGATAGGGCCTCACTCTGTTGCCCAAGCTGGAGTGCAACAGAAAGGTCTCAGGTCACTGTAGCCTCAAGCAATCGTCTCACCTTAGGCTCCTGAGGAACTAGGACAACAGGTGCATACTACTATACCCAGCTAATTTGTCATGTTTTGTAGAGACAGGGTCTCACTGTACTGCCCAGGCTGGTCTCGAACTCATGGACTCAAGTGAGCCACCCACCTCAGCCTCCCAAAGTGCTGGGATTACAGGCATCAGCCACTGTGCCCAGCCCCATCAATGGAGTATCAGTGAGAAACTAACAAAGAGGATTTATATCAGAATATATAGCCATTTTCCAAGTCTACTGACCTCACCTAAAAACAATCAGCTTTAGGCTCCCTCCTCAAGATGCTTTAAACAACCAAGGATATTCCACTAATTAATTAACCTTGAAGTCATCATAGTTAATATAACTTCAAGCCACAGAAAAACTTAGTCAAGGCACCCTCCCATAACCATACTCTACATACGTAGATTGATTTTTTTATATTTTAATTGGAGTCTTGCTCCATGGCCCAGGATGGACTGCAAGGGTGCTATCTCAGCTCACTGCAACCTCCGCCCAAAGGGTTACGCAATTCTCCTGCCTCAACCTCCCAAGTCGCTGGGATTACAGGTGCCCACCACCACATCTGGCTAATTTTTATATTTTTAGTAGAGATGGGGTTTCACCTTGTTGGCCATGCTGGTCTTAAACTCCTGACCTCAGGTGATTTGCCCACCTTAGCCTCCCAAAGCTCTGGGATTACAGGAGTAAGCCACTGCACCCGGCCAGATTTTGATTTTTAAACTATAAAGGCATTTGTCTTTTGGCACATGAAAGGATGGTAGAAGTCTGACATTCCTGGAGAGCAGTGATGTTTTTCAAACCGGGCTTGTTGGTTGCCCATGGAGGTGATTTAGCAGTCATGGGGAAGCTAAAGGCAGATTAAAAGGGGCAGAGGCCCAGGCTCCCTTCCTTTGTTTCAATAAAACAGATCCACTTTTAACTTATTTATATGCTAGGAGGTTCCAATTCCTTAAAAAGGTTTGGCAACCAGTACTATCAAGTGAGAACATTGTAATTTCTAGAATTCTCAAAACCTTAGAACGTTATTAGCAAGAGCATATACCTGCAATATCTTGCCCAAGGTAAGAGCACCAATGGTTTCTCATGACTTCAATGGCATCCAGGTCATCCTTGGAGATGTCATTATTAATGATAAGGTGAATGCAGGGGATGATCAGCTCATTCATCACATTAATGCCCTCGGTTACAGAGTGATCATCATTTGTTTCAAAGAGAGAAGCTGCTTTGGCATTCAGCTCCTACAGTTAAAAGGTAGAATTAGGTGGGGAAAAGTATGAAAAAGATACATATTTCTTTAATAACAATCTAAACAAGCAGTTCCCAAACTTTACTGCACATTAGATGCACTTAGGGATCTTTAAAAACTACTGATGTCTGGTTCCCAGTCCTGATATGCTGATTTAATTAGTATTCAGATGACCAAGACATTGGGATTTTACGAAAGCTCCCAAAGTGATTCTAATGCAGCAAAGTTTATGACGCAATGGCCTAAACTTGTAAGGCAAGGTCCTGCTTAACACCTGTTTCAACCAAAGACCAGTTAACTGGTTCTCTGTCTCCTCCGAACACCAGAATCACCTGCAGAAGACAGACTGATGTCCAGCCCCTTCCTACGGATTCTGGTTTAATTGTCTAGGGAGAGGCCTGAGCTTCACAACTGTCTGAAAGCTCCCTATATGATTCTGATGCACACCAGGGGTTAGGATCCAATAATGGAAAGAGTCTAAATCCCTATTACTGCATTACTACAGAAGCTGGGTAGGATATTCAAAAATGTCAATCTATTTGGTAATTTAAAATATAAAAACATGGCTCTAATAAAATTCAGATCCATCAAAACAACAAGATCCCTTTTTCAGCTTCAAAGTGGCCCTGCCACACCTATAACTAATACAGTTGTCAACTTGTAAATCAGAAAATAAAGCTATTGCATGTATGTCATGACCTAATCTCACCCATTCAGTATGTACAAGGCCAAGGCAGTAGTAGAAATATTGGCTTGTCTTCTGTGAAGGGCAAATTTGCTGGGTATAGGAGAAAATACACACAAGCACAAAATCTGAAAGCAGGCTACCCCTTTACAGTTCTCTGAAGGACAAGCATCACATAAACCCCTGGGGAGGCAAGGGGATATAGGTCTGCCTTTCCATGTGGCTATACAGCACAAATCAGGCCAGGAGAGAGTTAATCTTCACTAGTATGACGATGATGTTACCAGAACAGCAAGACCAATTCTTATGGTTCCTACTTTTCTTAAAAAAAAAAAAAAAAAAAAAAAAAAAATGAAGTGTCTCAGAAGTCACTAAAACTTTCATCTACCAGCTTAAAAGTGAACACGGAAAAAATACTGCATTCCTTCCACACATATTTATTACGTGCTTCCTACATGACAGTCACAGAGGAAATGGCTGAGTGAGAAAAGTATCTGTGCTCAAGGTACCTGGTAGGAAAGCAATGTGATAAAATCTATAATGCTCGTATACATGAAGGGCACACAGAGGGATGACTAATTCTCATCTTAACTTCTATCAGTTATCATTGAAGACCAATGGCATTCACTAAAAGTAACTTAAAAAAAAAAAAAAAAAAAAAAACCTGTTCCAATGTAAAACTGTTCATGAGAATTAGGGGGGAAAAAAATCTAAAACCTGCCGGAGATATTTTGTTTTGAAAGTCATGTCTTTTCAAGGAGCAGAGGTAAACAAAAAAAACCTTAAGACTTTACAATCAGTACAAACCAGAAGGCATTTCCTTCGGTATAAAGCAATCACGGACTCCTTGACCCCCCGGCGAGGCCCCTTCATCAGCAGGGCAGCATTGCTCTGGTAGGCATATACCAGGTAGGAAAGTGCCTCTTGGTACCTTAGAAAATGGGAGATAAACAACAGCTGAATGCTCTTTTACTGAAATCTAGGGGTTAGACCTCTCTTTTCCCCATTTCAAGAACCTACTTGGCTACAATTAAGAAAAAGTCAAGGGCCAAAAACAAAAAGTCAAGGGCCAGCTCTTCTACAAATTGGCCAGTCCACCCAAAACAAATCATGAAACTTCCCTAGCCTCCGTTTTTCCCATCTCTAAAACAAAGAATGCTCACTAGGGTCCATGTCAACTCAAAAATCCATTTTCTGAGCATCTTCATTGACCACAAAGACAGTCTGGCACAATATATCTCTTGGCTGATCCATCTCATTATGTGAAGGATAAAAAGCTGTGTGTGATGTTTAGAGCAAAACTGAAGCACTGGAAGAGGCACACACACTAGTGTATATGGCAAGAGAGGTTACGCATGGTTGTGGCTCTCAATATTCCCAGGTGGGCATCTATAGGGAACAGCATCCTGACTAACAATCTTAGTAAAATAAAAGATCAACATACTTTCCTTTTTGATAGAGTTCTAGGCCTGTTAGGAGGTACACAGATACTTTTCGGAACAAACTATAATCTTCATGCCACTTCTGAAAAAGAATGGCTACTATTAATAATTATGATCATAAATTTTTAGTGCCCTTTCCACCTAAGTTTTAAATTCATTACAAACATTTACTGAGCACATCCGTGTAGCCACAAAAATAACACACACTAAAGCTTTCAGATAAAAACCTACTCAACATTTAACATAAAAGTATACCACTGATCTTAATTTTCCATGTTCTGTTCCTTTCAGTTGAGTAACAGAAGTATTTATTTCCTACAAGCTTTGGAATTTATCTTAATTTCCTGTAGCTATGTCAAAGACATTCAGCTGTAGCTTAAGCGAAGGACTTCTTCAGCGCTGGTAAAGCCATCCAGATACGGAAAATGATGGAAAGACATGGCCATTTCTAGTCATACAGAGCAACGTTCAAATTCAGGAAGTGTGGCAGATACACCTTGGGTGGTACACAACATTGTTTTACATAGAAAGCAATTAAAAAAATGTACAACTATGTATATACTTTAAATGCATATTTTAAAAACTGTATCACTTAAAACAAACCAAATGCACCATTACAAGAATTTTACTGATTAGGACAAGGCTAAAATAGGTATTTAAGGGAAGTAAAGTGTTGATTCACCCTAAAAGAAGAATGAAAATAAGGAGACCTACTATTCTGAGGACAAGAAAATATCATTTATCCATTCTTTACCAGGTTTTTTTTTGGGGAAAGTGGGAGAACAAGTCAGTCTGCCATTGTTAATTTTGCCTCAGGTACCATTTACCTCAGGAATTAATGTTTTTGCTCTACAGACTTAAAGAAAAGACTTCACCTTGTACTCTTCCATATTCATGTCATCTGGACCAATTTCCTTCAGTTTCGCTTGAGCCACCTTCATAATGCTGATTGATCTGTGTGGGACAAAGTTCAGAAAGCAATGAAAGGGTACAGGGCAAAACTTTCCCAACAGAGGAGTTGGTCTAGCCTGACCCAGACAAAGGAGTGATTCACCTGAATGTTCTCTTCTCACCTTTCATCATAGCTAAGATTTTTATCTGCAAACTGTTCCAGAAGAGTTCGTTCTACTACCCTTTTGGGTGCTTCATTTTGGAAGAAGTAGACAAGGACATGTTGAAGTCGAGGATCACTGTGAGAGGTGGGGGTCTCTTTGGCAAGCTGATAGAGCCTGGAGTATTCCTCATGGAATGCCTATTAAGGACAGCATCAATAGTTAGAAAAGGAGTGTGCTGTGGGCTTCTGCACACAGAAATTGATGCCTAGGAGCAAGGCAGTCTCTTAACTCTAAAAAGACTTCTAAAAATTCTTATTGAGGAATTACAAAAGCAACTACAGAATCTTTATATTGCTTTCATAAGGGGTGAAACTCTTTCAGCATCCTGGCACCAAAAACATACTATACCTTTTTTTTTTTGAGACAGGATCTTGCTTTGTCACCCAAGCTGGAGAACAGTGGCATGATCACCTGGGCTCAGGTGATCCTCCCACCTCACCCTCCCAAATAGCTGAGACTACAGGCACACGCCACCATGCTCAGCTAATTTTTGTATTTTTTGTAGAGATAGGGTTTCACCATGTTCCCCAGGCTGGTCTGGAACTCCTGAGCTCAAACAATCTGCCCATCTTGGCCTCCCAAAGTGCTGGGATTACAGGCATGAGCCGCAGGGCCCAGTCTATTATACTCTTAAGAAATTCAGTTTTCTCATAAAGTTCTCAGAAAAAAATATATTTAGTTTTCATTGTTATAAAAGGCAGATACTTGTGTGTCAATGACTTAAACTTTAAGCATCTATACAAATGCAATTTTACCCAAGTATTTTTAAAAACATGGACTACTTTGTTATATTATGGTCTCAAAATTAACCCAGTTGCTACTAACAGACAACTCCTAAGAACAATGAAAAGCCCTCCAGGCTACGTGTCACTGAGATTGTTCCTGCTAGCCAAGGCTGGGTTAGTATCAAGTGAAGAAAACAGCTTGTTCATAAGTTGGACAGGAAAGGGAGTTTCATGTTTCACTTCACAGAAGACTTTTTTTTTTTTTTTTTTTAATTTTCTTGAGACAGGGTCTCACTCTGTTACCCAGGCTAGAATGTAGTGGCACAATCATGGTTCACTGCAGCCTTGAACACCTGGGCTCAAATGATCCTCTTGCCTCAGCCTCCAAATTAGCTGGGACTACAGGCATATGCTACCATGTCCAGCTAATTAAAAAAAAGAAATTCCACTATGTTGACCAGGCTGGTTTTGAACTTCCGGCTTCAAGCAGGCCTCCCTCCTGGGCCTCCCAGAGTGCTAAATTACAGGTGTGAGCCACTATGCCCAGGCTCTTTTTTTTTTTTTTTTTTTTTAAGAGATGGGCTCTCTTAGGTTGCCCAGGCTGGAGTACAGTGGTGCAATCAAAGTGCATTGCAGCCTCTAACTCCTGGGCTCCAGTGATCCTCTACCTCAGCCTCCTAAGTAGCTAGGGCTACACGCACATGCCACCACACCCAGCCTTAATCCCATTTTTCCCCTTCTTACAGAATTATTTCCCCAATATTATGATGCCTGTGCTGTAAGAATTAGAATTTTAAAAACAGAGATACCTTAATCAGCCCTGCTTCAGACCCATCTCGGTCAAAGGTCTGACGGGCTTTAGCTATGGCCAGGATGACCCCTTGCATGGCAGGGCTCAGCATCACCTACCACAAAGGGGCACAAAACATAGAGAAAAAGGAGAGAAGAAAGGTTCAGCAGAAGACTGTACGAAAGTAGGCTGAACAGATTGCTAAAGGGCAGCAGAGCAGTGTTCCTATGTGCACCCACCACTTCTGTCCTTCTAGATGATGTCAACACCCTGCCCAAGACAAGCTATTCCTAAACTATATGTTCTAACTCAGTAGGATGAAGAAAGATGTATGCCTAAAAATATCTCCCAATATGGTACTGCTGAAGAATTAAGTTAAATTATAGTTCTCGGAGGGGAAGTGTCTAAGGTCAGAATTCCAATTTAGTTCTGTACTTTGGGTGTATATCTTAAACACACAAATACTTCACAGTTTTACTACGATGAACAGTGTATTTAAAATAGTCTGGATACTAGGGACTATATAAATATGACTCCATAAAGAAAAACTTTCAAGGATTTTTTTTTTTTTGGAAATGGAGTCTCATTCTGTCCCCCAGGCTGGAGTGCAATGGTGTGATCTCGGCTCACTGCAACTGCTGCCTCCTGGGTTCAAGCAGTTCTCCTGCTTTGGCCTCTCAAGTAGCTGTGATTACAGGTGTGCGCCACCACACCTCGCTAATTTTTGTATTTTTAGTAGAAACAGGTTTCACCACATCGGCCAGGCTGGTCTTAAACTCCTAACCTCAGGTGATCCACCCACCTTGGCCTACCAAAGGGCTGGGATTACAGGCATGAGCCTGTAAATTACAGAATTACCTTTTCAATGATTTTTTTGTTTGTTTTAAATACCCCACAGGGAAAAGAAAAAAGAAATCTGAGAAACAGAATTCATTACTGTTTACGTGCAATGCAACTGAAGAGGAGACAGACAACAAATAACTTGGGGTTCTATAGCTTCTTCCTAAAGCTTTAGAACTAAAAATAACTTAAATCCACATTTGTTCAGCTCACTGTACAACTGAAAAATTTATATCTGGAGAAAAAACAATGGACTAATATCCAAAACAAAGATTCCCTACTTTAAATTAGAAGGCAATCTTTTGTCCAAAATAACAAAAAGGGAACTAAATTTTACCCTTCTGAGCAATCTAGACTCTGCAGTGGCCCTGTTAAGTACAAGCCTGGGTAAATATACACATGCTGAGAGCACTAACAGTAGAAACACGACTATCTTTCATAAGGTCAAAACAAAATAGGCTTTCTTGACAATTATTTGTTGCAATGAGAAAATATCAGCTATTGGCAGATACCTTAATATAGTAACAAGAGAAGGAAATAGAAGACCGACAACAAACAGCTAAATCCTGCACTCATCTCTGTACCTCCCTCCTCATCATATCCATCTGCACCAGATCTAACCAGAATCCTTCCCACACTGGGAATCTCGACTTCAGAGACCTCAGAATTAGGCTGGGCAGTAGACTCTGCATCATTAGCCTTTTGAGGCTGCTCTGACTGCTCTGCAAAGTTTGTTTCCTGGGGCATGGGCTTCTTGGGTTCAGCTTCTTTAAGCTATGGCAGCAGAATGGGGAGAAAGAGTAAGAAAAAACAGGAGAAATAAAAAGGGGTTGGTTAAATGCAGCAGAGACACAGAATAAAAGAAATGTAAGAAAACTGACCATTGCTGCTGAAAGCCTGGCCCTCCTGAACTTGGGCTTCCCAGTCATTCTCACCTCACTCAGTGCTGCTTCTACACCGCTCTTCTCATAGGCACGGGCTGTGTTTGCAATAGCCTGGGCAGTCTGCTCCTTTACAATCACAGCATGCTCGGATGACAAGCAGCGAACCCCATGAGAAGAGGCTACTGAAGGCTCTGATAAAGAATATACAAAGGTCTTAGCATCTGATGATAAATAGTCTAGAATACTCAGATAAAAAGCAAGCAGAATGGATACAGTTTAATATACAACCCTGCTAACAGCTTTTTACAAAGCCTATGCAGGTTTTCCCTAGAAAGCAATAACTACAAGAAATGGCTACTTCAGCAAGAACTCTGATAAAAGTCTGTAAACTTTGAACCCACTGGTAAGTCTGTAAAATTAATGTGCACCCAACTTTGTCATATTTCTACACATTAAGAAAACTTTCTACAAACAAGCATCTGTTAGGAAGATCACCTTTGGAGAATGGTTTTCATAAAGTCTACCTATTAATCTTATCATAGTTTCTCCCATAACCTGGGAAATAAGCAAAACCATATACACAGTGAAAGTCACAGGTAGTTCTTTCTGATATTACTTCTCTTCATCAGATCACATTCTAATGCCACAATTCATTCCACTAGGTTGTGCCTGGCATAACAACTGCATATGAAATATACTGTGAAGGCTGTGGCATCACCTAACCATCTGAAGGGCATAGGGCTGGCTAGGGGAATACAGCATGAAATGTTACTATATCTCTGGCATAAATGCCTTCTCAGATACCTTGTGATGTAGAGAAGTCCTGTGATGAGGAGTTGGTGGAGGACTCCATTTGAGGGATTTTGCAAGATTGCTCTTCTTCCCACTCCTCTACTTCTTGCTCAAATCGCCAGTTATCCTCCTGAATGTAATGCTTAAGTTCCACAGATAAGGCTTCCACTTCTGACATTTGATCTGACTCATTTGGGGCTGCCTCTGAGGAAAAGCAAAGATAGAATTAAAAGGTCACAAGGAACCAAAGATCATAAGAAACCAAAACATCCTTTTTAGAAAGGAAGAAAGCAAGATATTTCATCTTTATCTTACTCCTAACTAAAAATACATACACATATAATCCATCAGAAATGCAGGCTGAGTATCTCTTATCCAAAATGCTTGGGACCAGAAGTGTTTGGATTTCAAATTTTTTTCAGTTTTTGGAAAATCTGCACCATTACTTATAGTTGAGCATCCCAAATCTGAAAATCCAACACCTGAAATTCAAAATGCTCCAGTGAGCATTCACCTTCAGCATCATGTCAGTGCTCATAAAGTTTTGTGGATTTTGGAGCATTTGGGATTTTGGATTTTCTCATGTGGGGTGCTCAACCTGTACGGACAATGTAAGAGCAACAATCGATAACAGTGCCTGACATTTAGTAGGCACTCATTAAACATCTGCTAAACGAATGAATAATACAGAGTTAAAGATTTGGAAAGTGGGCCGGGCACAGTGGCTCAAGCCTGTAATCCCAGCACTTTGGGAGACCAACGCAGATGGATCACTTGAGGTAGGAGTTTGAGACCGGCCTGGCCAACACGGTAAAACTCTTTTGTAAACCCTTTAAAAAAAACACACAAAAATTAGCCAAGCGTGGTAGAGCGTGTCTGTAATCCCAGCTACTTGGGGGGCTAAGGCTGCAATGAGCTGAGATTGCACCACTGCACTCCAGCCTGGGTGACAGAGTGACACTCCAACTCAAAAAAAAAAAAAAAAAGATTTGGAAACTGGTCATTGTCAATCACTGGATATACCAACCATTTCAGGGAAATTCAGAAAATCATTAGAGCCAATAAAAATTTCAGGCTAAACAGTTTTCTCAATTGAACCACAGCATTTGGTTGGTAAGCATGTCCATTTCCAAAAGGTTAGAGATGAATTTCAAGACATTTATATCATTAACTTTCACACAATTAAGTACTATGAGAAAGCAATTTGATACAATGGTTAGATGGTCAATAATACCTGGCTCTAATGGTAAGGATATCAACAACATACTAAATTTCATTTTCTTTTTTTTTTTTTGGGACGGAGTTTCACTCTTGTTACCCAGGCTGGAGTGCAATGGCGCGATCTCGGCTCACCGCAACCTCCGCCTCCTGGGTTCAGGCAATCCTCCTGCCTCAGCCTCCTGAGTAGCTGGGATTACAGGCACGCGCCACCATGCCCAGCTAATTTTTTGTATTTTTAGTAGAGACGGGGTTTCACCATGTTGACCAGGATGGTCTCGATCTCTTGACCTCGTGATCCACCTGCCTCAGCCTCCCAAAGTGCTGGGATTACAGGCTTGAGCCACCGCGCCCGGCTCCAAATTTCATTTTCTAACCCTGTGACCAAAATAAAATAAAAATCCTATATCAGATTAACACATTCACTTACTGGTTACCATTAATCAGCCTTTTCACTAAGCAAATGACAGTTTCCACTTGTTTGTTTCTATAATACAAAAATAAACTATGCACACAATAACAAGGCTCCTATAAACTACCAACAGCTAGCACATTTCACCTGTTATAATAACTCCCACAAGCAGTTACTCATTCCTTCACACCATAAATATACAATTGTGAAGATCCGTTACTGTTCAATGATCATTCTCTCCATTTCCTAATCCCCAACCACACTAACACATCATTAAGATAATGTGCTGCCTGGACAGAACTGCATTACGTGTTGATTGCTTTGGGACAGAATCTCACTCTGTTGACCAGGCTGGGTGCAGTGGCACAATCTCAGCTCACTGCAACCTTTGTCTCCCAGATTCAAGTGATTTTCCTGCCTCAGTCTCCCCAGTAGCTGGGATTACAGGTGTACACCACCACACCTGGCTAATTTTTGTATTTAGGAGAGACAGGGTTTCACCATGTTGGCCAGGCTGGTCTTCAACTCCTGGCCTAACGTGATCCACCGCCTCAGCCTCCCAAAATGTTGGGATTACAGGTGTGAGCCACTGTGCCAGGGCTTATGCAACACAGTCAAGTTTGAATACTAAAAGCAAAAGGTTCCTATTAACTTACTTGCAAAATGCTCATCATAAGACCTCTCATAGAGGATGTGAAGAAAGACAGAATAATGTAAGTTGAAAACACCACAGAATTTGGAGAATTATATTTGAATCTTGGGACTGCTATTTATTTAATGACTATGTGATTAGTCAACTTTAGAACCCTTAGAACCTGTTATCCAGCTGGAAAATGAATATCACAACATTTTCTAACCTTCCTCCCTCCCTTTTACAGTTGTAAGTTCTTAGAGAAATAAAGTTTGAAAGTATGCTTTCAGCATTAAAGTACCAATATAAATGATAAGTATTCTTGCTCTTAGCATGAGTAGTAGTATTATGACAACTGTGAAACTATTCCGGCAAGTACACCTGTAAAATTTAGTTATTCTGCGCCAGGCTTGGTGGCCCACGACTATAATCCTAGCACTTTAAGAGGCTGAGGCGGATGGTCACCTGAGATCAGGAGTTCAAGACCAGTCTGGTCAATATGGTGAAACCTCATTTCTACTAAATATAAAAAATTAGCTGGGCATGGGGGTGGGCACCTGTAATCCCAGCTACTTGGGAGACTGACACAGAAGAATCATTTGAACCCAGGAGGCGGAGGTTGCAGTGAGCTGAGACTGCACCACTGCACTCCAGCCTGGGTGACAGAGCAAGACTTGGTCTCAAAAAAAAAAAAAAAAAAAAAAAAAAAATTAGTTATTCTCCAAAGGGTGCAAAAATGTATGTACAAAATGTCACTATCGGCACCATAAGATGGAGCAAGAAAAAAAGAAAGATGTCACTAAAAACAACAACTAGAGACAAAGTCTATCTATGCGAGGCAAGTTGAATAAATTTTTAAAATACGTACATTCCATACAATGAATTATTATATAGTTGTTAAAACTAATGAGTAGATTCTTCTTCTAAAAATATAGAGATTGATAAATACTCGATTAATGAAAAAGGTTCAGAGTTGAATCAAAAAATAACCTATTTGGGGATAAGAGGAGGAGATAAAATAAATAGAAACTAGCATATGCATACAACGTGTCTTGAAGGCTACATAAGAAACCTAACATTGTACACTTGTTGGGGAGTGGGACCAGTGGTCAAGGAAGTAGTAGTAAAGCGAACTTGTTTTTCCTTTTCATTCCCTTTCATACTGTTTATATTTTTGAAACGTATTATTATGTAATAGTAAGCTGTAGTTTAAATTTTTAAAAAAGCAGTATAAGACTGTGCTTCTCCCTGAGCAGTACAGATTTTCCCCTGTCTATAGATTCTGCCAAGATATTTTTACCTGCATTGAAGTGGGGTAGTTTGTCATTAATGTACATCAGACAGTATGCACTAACATTTCTCAGGCCCCCATAGGAATCTCTTTCAACTTCTTCCCAGGAAGATTCGGTAACAGAGATGTCATTGTACTTGAGCCAGCTCTGACGGGGTTGATTATAGATATAGGCCCAATAGTGTCCAGCATTTGCTTGTCCTTCATGAACAAGAACTGCATGCAAGCGATAAGGCACCTGTAAGTCAGAATGTACATTTCCCAGTCAGGTGAAGCAAAGTAATCTGATAAAGTTTACGTTATTAAGAAATGACTATGCATGTGATTAATATGGGGTTCATATTAAAACATCCTGTTGATTCAAGATGAAGTACTGAAAACACAGCCTTGGAGCTGATTATGTCTCAGTTCCCCAATCTTGAAATCCAGATCGTTGAACTACATGACCTCTCTGAAGATTCAACTCTAAACCCCTCAGATCTAAAACCAAATATAACCTAAACATATACATCCTTCCAATTCAAAACCTTGTTTATCTAAAAATAGAATCACCTTGACCACTCCTGCTGAAAATGCTTAGCATATTTGAGACCTAAAAACAAGGTTAGCAGCTATTTTGTTCTATACCTGTTTTATTTGGCACCAAAATTTAAGTTAACATATTTAATTCAGCCACACGCTTCTTAGAGTGAAGTGATCACCTACCTATCTGGAGTGATGACCCTTTTAATGACATATTTGTTACAACATTTGAAAAGCACATATGTATATTTTCAATATGGAGAAAATAGAGCAATTCTTAAATGCTAATTAAATACTGGAAAAAGAAATGAAAGTCAATCACAGAATCAAATTATACTGGAAAAAGAAATGAAAGTCAATCACAGAATCAAATTAAACTTACACTTAATCAGTACTTTGACCTACTTTAATTACTGGTGAAGATTTTTGAAATAACACAACAGAAAAAATGGGGAAACCTGAGTTTCACATGGAGCATTCCTGTTAAGCAATGGGACTCTGCCTCAATGCGATTCTAGAAGCAGGGCTCTGCTCCTACAGCCATTCTGCCCACTCCATCCATTCTCACAGAAGCCACGGAAAGGTCATGCCCCCTAACCAGAATAGGTTCAGAAAGCTCTTTTTCCTTCCATTCCCAGAATTTATTCTAAATAAAAACTTGTGTAGATAGTAAGAATTTCTGTCCTGTCCAACTCCCTTTTGGAGTTCATTATTATAGAAATAAAGCTTGAAAGCATGTTGCTATATTGAAAAATCTGGAAGAATCATGGAACTTTTGGAAAGAAAAGGTAACTGTCCCTAGTTCAGTTTTCTCCACTGCACTACTTAAAAGTACCATTTTGTGAGTACTTTTTCTTAAAATCTGACAACAAACCTTTCTACAATATGAAAAAATTCTATGTGGTAGAATTCAAACAAGTATGTGTTAGGTCCTGTTGCTGGTAAGAAAAATATATATTGCTTTCTTTAGCCTAAAATAAAGAAACAGAATAACATCAATTTCTATCTTAAGATATCTTATTCTTATATCTTAGGGAGACTCCTATTGGGTTTTTAAAAAAACTATCAAATTTTATTTTTGTATCTACCATTAGCACATGCCTTGACCACTTTCCCATCAATTTTCATTCTACCTGACGAAGGAGAGGATCACAGTACATCTGCTCAACAGTCTGAGTAGTACTTGCAATACAATTCTTTAAATCTGTTTGGAAAAAGAAAAACAAAAGCTTTATTAAAATGATCTCATTCTATGTCATACAGGCTGCTACAACTAAGCAAAGGAAATTGCTTAGGGTCCTAATGATTTCAGCTTCCCTCTATGAACCACAAAGCAGTATACAGTTTTGTTTCTTTTTTTTTTTTTTTTTTTTCATGTGTCTTGCATTGGAACAGTATACAGTTTTAAAGCAGCTAGTACTTTAGGTTATGAAGGCTTTTAGTTCAATGTAACTATATTAAGGTTTCAAAAATTATTTTTTACAATTGGCACCAAAATTTCTTAAAGATTAAGCCATTAGGAAAACATCTTAATGGGTCACTTGGCTGTAAAATGTATGTCTCAGACAGGATCTGAAATGAGAAAACAGAACAAAGGGTAAGGCTAAATTTCTCTGAATAGGAATCTGGGAAGAATCTGGAATTTCCATCTTCTTTTTGTTCCCTAGACAAATGGAGAAAGGAAGCGGGGGTAAGGCTATTCTGAGCAATATGGGCAATGAGGTCAAAAGACTTTTTAAGAATACAATGCTGAATAATCCAATTTTACATTGTGTGTACTGCTCAAATACCCTGCCTTGTTAACTTTCAGTAAAGCATGCTTCATATAGAAAAGGCGTTAAAAGCAGAAGTCCAGAAAAGCTAAATGCTAAATCTGGGTCAACTTAAGCCAGGGTTTAGATAAACTACCACAGAAACAGGAATCAGCAGATGCAGAAAAATACCAGCAAGGTGATCATTTCCCAGAAAATTTGAGGGAGGATCTTTCCACATCTTTGTAATAGGGGTATGTGAGCCAAGCTTACAGGGCACTAAAAGAACAAAAGAAGCCACAAATACCATGTCAAAATTCAGTAGCATGGGTCAGCTGTGGTGGCTCACACCTGTAATCCCAGCACTTTGGGAGGCCAAGGCGGGTAAATCACTTTTGGTCAGCGGTTTAAGATCAGCCTGGCCAACACAGTGAAACCCCATCTCTACTAAAAATAATAATAATAATACAAAAATTAGCCAGGTGTAATGGTGCGTGCCTATAAACCCTTGAGGCTGAGGCATGAAAATGTCCTGGGAGGCAGGGAGCCAAGATTGCACCACTGCACTCCAGCCTGGGTGACAGCAAGACTCCATCTTGAGGGAAAAAAATTCTGTACAATGTACAGTAATGTCAGGAAGTATACCAAGGTGCTTAACCTCCAAACAGTCAAAAAACAGAAAAGGAAGAGTAACTGACAAGTTTTAAAAGAGCCAACCTTGTATATCTTGTTCAATCTCACTCCTCCACCTCTGAAGACAAGTCTTAACAAAGTTTATCTCCTCATCTGTGACTGTTCTTGGAGCTGGCTGTGCAGGCATTTCCATGGAAGACCGAGAAGATGTAAGTGGTTTAGACTTGTGTTGAGAATCTTCAGAAGAAAAGGTACTTTCAACATCCTGAGAAGAGCTTTCTGTACTCGTACTGAGGAAGACAAAAATCATGTTCATAATGATAATTTGCAAAAGATACCTTGGCTTAAATTATGTACTTTGGAAAGCAAGATGCTATATGAAAAAGTACAGGCATTCAGTGAGCATAAACTCTATAAAGGTATGGAGCCAACCCTTTTCTCTATATACATCATCTCACGTACCACAACTGGCCTATGAGGCAGATACTATTCTACCCCTATTTCACCAACTGCAAGCCTAAGGTTAAAGAAATTAAGCAACATAGCCGGGTGTGGTGGCTCATGCCTGTAATCCCAGCACTTTGGGAGGCCGAGGCCGGTGGATCACAAGGTCAAGAGATCGAGACCATCCTGGTCAACATGGTGAAACCCCGTCTCTACTAAAAATACAAAAAATTAGCTGGGCATGGTGGCACGTGCCTGTAATCCCAGCTACTCAGGAGGCTGAGGCAGGAGAATTGCCTGAACCCAGGAGGCGGAGGTTGCGGTGAGCCGAGATCGCGCCATTGCACTCCAGCCTGGGTAACAAGAGTGAAACTCCGTCTCAAAAAAAAAAGAAATTAAGCAACATGTCCAAGTTCACCAAGCTAGTAGGTAAAGAAAAGGAATCCAAAGGTGGATCGGTCAGAGTCTTTAGATCATGCTCTCTGATCATTGATTATTCCTTCTCATGAAGATGGGAAGAGAAGAGTAGGCCTGCAATAATTAAGGAATCAACCACAGAGTCTACAAGATGAACCCAACTAAAGTGGTACTATCCATCCAGGAACAAAATACACAGAAGCAAGAAAAAGGAAGCATCGGCTGAACATACAACTCACAGGAACACACACTAGGTGATACCTTGGAGAGCTGGGAGAGTAGGGCTTCAAGTCAGACAATCCTAGCTCCACTACTTTAGCTAAATACCCCAGGAAAAGAGTATTTTGCCTCAGGTAAATAATATCTCATCTACAAAATATAAATGTCAAATTCTTTATGTCTTTAATATAAACTGACAGAATAAAGCATATAAAGTAAATGTTAATTTCTCTATTAACCTATTGTCAAACACAGTAAAACTGCAGGTGAATAAACCAGTAAGAATATAAAATAAGCTTCTAATTGTAGTTAGATTTCTCTTTTACACCAAAGCTGAAGAATATAAACTTTCTTTACTTTTGGCTTAAAAAAAAACCCTCACTCCCTTTTCCCTACTCTCTCACATGCACAAAATAATGGAGGCAATCTCTTTTACCTAAGGTCCACGCCTATGGAAAAATAAGCCCAACAAGAGAACAGGTATCTCAATTTCAGGAGATTACACACATACACTTCCCTGTAATTTTTAAATCTAATATCAAGCACTATTATTTTATTTGATTAAATAGCCTGCCGAACCACTTTTTAAAAATTCAATTTACATTTCATAATATACATTAAAAGATTCTATTTTTTAAAAGAAATTCAAAAATCTAAGCAGAATATAAAAAGTGAAAGAGCAGCCCTACTCCTATCCCCAGACTCATGTCACTCCCTAGAGATAATCATTCTTGACATTTGGTATGTTCTATCCAAACAAGCATTTCTATGCCTACATGGATGAATAAATATTAATACCTGTAGGAGGAGTGTTAGGGAAAATAGTTAAGGTTTTTTGACAAAACTGTCTAACTTTTTATTGGGTATTAGTGTTTTCATTAGCCAGGTCACACATATCAAATGTCCTAGCTACTTTTCGTGGCTCCTCCAGGTAATAGAGATTGTTGCAGTTGGCTACTGGAATAAAATCAGAGGCTCCTGTGACTTTATCTCCCTCTGTCTTTACTAGACAAGCCCCTCTAGGCTGTCCTCTTATTTCTAGCCAGTTCTTTCTCAAGTTTTAATTTTCTATTCAGGAATAAGTCTCTGTTTCCTTGATGTTTACATAGTTATGCATACTTCAAGTGTGGAAGCATGAGAGATTTTGGAAGAGCAGGGCTTGAGGTTTCCTCTGAGAAAGGCTTCTAATGGTAGCTGGCTTGTAGTTCAAAACAAGGCAGCCCTGGGTGGAACCTGAACACTATCCTGGACATTTCGAGAAGCCTCTGAAATAACTCAACCATCCTATGGATAAGACAAATGCACTGGTGAGAATTAAGAACACTCCCACCCAAGTGATAGTCAGCAAAATCCTTCCCTTTAAGACAAAGAGCTCCGAGCTCCTGTGCTCTTATAGGTGAGCGTGAATCAGGTATAAAGATGGTGCATAGTTTAAATTATACCAGAAAAAAACAATACATACTATTTTTAAAAAACTCTTTTCATTACCTTTCCTTTGATGTCTGGTCAGGAACCGAGCAGTGCACTGAAGAAAGTGGTAATGTCATATGTGTGTCACTTTCAGGTGGACAGCTTTCTGAGGCAGGTTTTGTACTAGCAAATTCAATAACGTATTTCAGCATGTCAGGGAGCGGGAACCGAGCTGGGCCTGAGCCATATTTCACATACCTAAGAGGCAAAGACACTGGTATGCTACTGCCCAAATTGGTTTTGCATTTTAAGATTCGCTGACAAAAGATCTATTTATCAAAGGGAGTCAACAGAAAGGCTTATTCCTAGAGGCTATACAATATTTAATAGGGTACTCAAACAATCTATAGGGTAAAAATTCTCTAGCTACAAAAGTGAAAACTGCCAACAATGTGAAGTTTTATATCTGGCAGGAAACATTTCAAATGGGCTCCTAATCCTAATATTTTAAGTAGAGATGGGGTTTTGCTATGTTGGCCAGGCTGGCCTGGAACTCCTGACCGCAAACGATTCACCCGCCTCGGCCTCCTACACTGCCGGGATTACAGGCGTGAGCCACTGTGTCCAGGCAACATTTTTAAACAGTAAAAGTAGTGCATGTGCCTGGTATGAAAATTCAAATACAGAAAAGTAAGAAACAGACCATAAACACTATCTACCATCACCTCCGTTTTACTACCTAATGGTATCCATTAGGTTTCTTTTGGCAGGGCGCAGTGGCACACGCCTGTTAAGCCCAGCACTTTGGGAGGTCGAGGTGGGCAGATCACCTGAGATCAGGAGTTCGAGACCAGCATGGCCAACATGATGAAACCCTGTTTCTACTAAAAATACAAAAAATTAGCCAGGCATTGTGGTGCACACCTGTAAACCCAGCTACTCAGGAGGTTGAGACAGGAGAATCGCTGAACCTGGGAGGTGGAGACTGCAGTGATCCGAGATCACGCCATTGTACTCCAGCTTGGGCAACAAGGGTGAAACTCTGTCTCCAAAAAAAAAAGTTTCTTTTATATTTTCCAAGGGGTGTGTTACACATATACAAGCAGGTATGTGCAACCTTAAAAAAAAAATTCCGAAATTTACAGTCATTTTATTTTTTCCATTATAAAAATGTATCAAGGGAATAATCAAGAGTTTTTAGGGGCTTGGTTTAGCAAGATAAAGACTAAAAACCATTAACCCATTTATGCCTAGTGTTCCATTACTGGAATCCTAAGCTTATGGGAGTTATTTATATCCTACGGCTCAAGATCATCACCAAGGTCTGATTTTTCACACAAAAAAATTGCAACCCCTGGCATAAATGGGTTAAAAACACTTTACAAATTCTTTTTTAATGTACCAACTGGGACCTACATGAAATAAAACCTCTATTATCTTAGGAAAGAGATTGCTTTCCTAAATCAGAAAAGTTGATTTCCAAGTTACCCTCTTACCTCCACTGCCTTGGAACCCTAAGGAGAACTAAACTTCACCTGCAATGGTACCTCTGGCAGTCAAGGTAGGAAGAATGAGCGAAAACCTAAAACAGGCTAGATGCAGACTGTGGGCCAAAAGCAGAGGCTGTTTTAGAAATGGGACCATATAATTTATTATCCAACCAGGAAACTTCTGAGAGTAAAAGAGGGTGCTGTCAATTATTCAAGAAGAAAAGACACAAAATGAGCCATATAGCCACCCTAGTGATCAAGCACTATGGGAAACTACATTTCCCAGTATGCTCTGTCCCTTGAAAGTCAAAACACTTCACTGCCACAGAGCACCCAGGGACCTGGGGACAGCACCATGTAAGAGGTAAAGGATACAGCACTGGTTCTGACATGGACGCTTCCTCTTTTCACAGAACGCTTAACCAGACACAGGACATAACTCCAGAGATGGAATTTCAATGGATATTAAATCTAGAGTAGAGGTTTCCTCTCACCAACAATTCTAGCTTCCAAAGATGTAGACCTGGTTGAGCTGTCCATTGGTCCACTGCCCTATTGCTCCTGGTGCTGCCTCTGCCTCCCCACATCACCATCGCCACTGTCACCAGTCTTTTGGGGAATTCTGGCCAAGGTATTCTTCCCACTCAAGTTCAACCAATTTGTATAGCTCCACGGTGGCCTGGGTGTCTTTCACAGAGGAATGCCTGCTTTTCCCAACCCGTATGTCCCAGTTCAGCAGCTTCTTGATGAGACGCTTCAAAGACATGGTGACCTTCACCAGGTAATCAGCCTTCCATTTGGGAAGGAGGAGGAGGATATGGGAGTTGTCACTGGTGAGGGACTTGGGATGAAAGTTCTGAAGGGCTTTGAAGTCATCGTGGATGGCAAGCCCCACCATCTTCCCTGTCTCTTCAAGATCTGTCACAAGCAATCTTGAAGAGCATGACATTCACCATGTGCTGCTTCTGGACACCACTCCACCTGGTCTGGCAGTCCACAGTGGCCAGGGAGAATGATGTACTTGTCGTAAAGCGTATCTCCACTGTAGCTGACAGTGCTACGTGGAGCCAAGAGAGTAACATGCCCCTTGGGTCCTGTGTCCAGCATCTCACAGCCAAATGCCACCATTCTTCCTTGGCAACTTCTGGGATGCTCCAAAGCATGTATTCTGAGTGAGCTTTGGTAGAGTTCTGTGGGGCACTGGCCTAAGAGGATTTGTTCTGGGGCTCTTTCTTTTGGGAGTGGGTTAGTTGGCTATTAACCTTTAGAAGGGCACCCCCAGCAAATCTACTTAGCTGCAACTGAATCAGCATTCTTTGAAGGGGAAGGGGATGGCCAAGACACTGCAACCTTCCTGTACAGGGACTGTTCTGACCCTGACCCACTGCTGGAGGCAGCCTGCCTTCTTTTCTGGGAAGGGAGGGGTCTTCCAAGTGCCATCCAACCTAGGAGCTTCTTCTTTCTTTGGAAGTTCTGAGTGCAGCTTTGGGCAACTTGCTAGGGGGCTGGTTCTTTTTATTCAGAAAGCCTCTCTGCTCCAAGAGCTGCTGTTTCTTGACAAAATTTGGTGCTTGGCAGTTCCTTCTAATGCCTTTTTGGGAGCAGGTTCCACAAAATCCAGATTGAGGAGTCAGGTAAACATGCGGACAGTCAGTGGTGGAGTGTGTGAGGGCGGGGGAGGTGGGGAATACGTTCCCCGGCCCCTCTAGCCTCGTGAAGGTACAACTCAGGGGTCTCATTTTATTTTAAAACAAAAGTATTATCATACTAAGGAAAATGGTCCTATGCTCTATTTTAAAATCCAGAATACCCTATTGTCTCCTGGAAAATTAAGAATTTTTCAACTATAAAACACCAGGTATGCTTGGTTCTTTTTTGTTGTTGTTAAGAGATGGGGTCTCAGCTGGGCACAGTGGCTCACGCCCATAATCCCAGCACTTTGGGAGGCCGAGGAGGGCAGATCACAAGGTCAGGAGTTCAAGACCAGCCTGGCCAACATGGTGAAACCCCATCTCTACTAAAAATACAAAAATCAGCCAGGCATGGTGGAGCATGCCTGTAATCCCAGCTATTTGGGAGGCTGAGGCAGGAGCATCACTTGAACCCGGGAGGCGGAGGTTGCAATGAGCCGAGATCATGCCACTGCACTCTGGCCTGGGCCACAGAGCAAGAGTCCATCTCAAAGAAAAAAAAAAAGAGAGAGACAGAGAGAGAGAGAGAGAGAGAGAGAGAGAGAGATGAGGTCTCTCTATGTTGCACAGGCTGGTCTCAAACTCCTGGGCACAGTCAATCCTCCTGCCTCAACCTCCCATATAGCTGGGATTACAAGCACATGATACTGCGTTCAGCTGCTATGGTTGGTTCTATAAAAATAATTTTAAAATTCCAGCCTTACAAAGTAAAACCTTTAAAGTAAAATACTGCCACACTTAGGAGTTCTGTAAATCACTTCCAGGACAGTATCTGAGGAACCAGTTTCCAGCTTAAGTCTTTACTAAGACAGACGACTAATCACATCTTGTAAGTTCTCCTGGAGTGAGAGGAAGACGAAGTAGCAGTGGGGGTACAGTGCAGGGTCCATCTTAGGCCTGGTAGGGAAAGTGTTGTCCTTGAGGGAAATTAATGGCCTAATAAGGGAGTGGGTGGAGGTGGGGCAGTCATAGATAAAAAACGGTTAAGTGGATAAGGGGAGAATAAGCCACTGACTGTGTATGGGATCTCTTTCTTAAGTGCAAAATCAGTGGGATTTATCTAGACTAGAAAGAAATTACATGAACTCCTAAGGAAATCACAGAAAAATCATTCCACAGAAATAGTGTAAAACCAACAATCAGAAAAGGAAAAATTCCTCCAAAAGAGAAAGAACTTTATATGCATCAGAAATATTAGCTCTTTTAATCAGTTAGCACTGCTCTAGGTAGAAAAGCACTGCTTTTTAGCTTTCTTAGACACTTCAGAAACTGCTTTTCCAAAAGTGGACCGGACCGTTGTGACACTTGCCTCTCTCATATTTGTGAAAAAGATGGCAAAGGGAGTAGAAAAAGTAAAAGGCTATAAAATCAGACCTCAGGTTCTCCTTAGTACACTGCAATAATTAACTGTGTGACTTTGGGTCACTTAAGTACTCTGGGACTACTATTTACCCCCATGAATAATGCTAGCTGATCTTGAAGATTGCTCCACACTTAGACAAAAAATTTTCTTAGCTATTTTATAAAATACTCTTAGTTAATATTTAAACTTTCAGTTAATTTTTAAATAAAAACAAATTATCTGTTTTTAATATTCTACTCTTGTCATTTACATTTCTAAGCATGAAGGTGTCCACAGCTTACCTTTCCAATTTTTGCTGCAGAACATTTATTTCCTCCTTCAACTTTCGAATGCACTCTCTCTTATTCCGAATAAGCTCTTTGCTCCTGTACATGTACCTAAGCAAATAATCCCACAAACACAATTTATATTTAACAACATTAATAACATAAAGTCTCAATAAACTAAAGATTCAAGGAAACTTCTTCAATCAGATAAAGGGCGTCTGTGAAAAACATACAGCTGACATTATACCTAAGAGTAAGACTGATGCATTCCCCCCAAGATTAGGAGCAAGGATACTCATTCTTGCTACTTCTAATCAATGTTTAACTGAAGGTATAACCAATGCAATAAAGTAAGAAAAACAAATTAAAGGCATGCAGATAGTAAAGAAAGAAGTAAAGCTGCCTTGTAGTTCCACATGATATAATTACCTACGCATAAAATTTCAAGAAACCTAAAAAAAATACATCAGAACTAATAAGTGAGTTTGGTAAAGTCAAAGGATACAAAGTCAATCGGGAAAAAGGAAAAAAAAAAGGCCAGGCATAGTGGCTCATACCTGTAAGCCCAGCGCTTTGGGAGGCTGAGGTAGGTGGATCACCTGAGGTCAGGAGTTCAAGACCAGCCTGACCAACATGAAGAAACCCCATCTCCACTAAATTAGCCAGGCATAGTGGTACATGCCTGTAATCCGTTACTCAGGAGGCTGAGGCAGGAGAATCATTTGAACCCAGGAGGCGGAGGTTGCAGCGAGCCGAGATCGCACATTGCACTCCAGCCTGGGCAACAACGTGAAACTCCACCTCAAAAAAAAAAAAACAAAAAAAAACCTCAACTATAATTCCATACACTTGTAAAAGAACAAATGAAAATGAAATTAAAAGCATGAATTTGAGATAAATTTAATCAAATGTGTGCAAGACCTATACACTAAAAATTACAAAACACTGTTGAAAGATATTAACAAGGACTTAAATAAATCTTTATTAATTTATTTAATAAATGGAGCTACACACCATTCATGGATTGAAGGACTCATTATTATTATCATTTTTTTTTTTTTTTTTGAGACGGAGTCTCACTCTTCTCACCCAGGCTGGAGTGTAATGGTACTATCTTGGCTCACTGCAACCTCTGCCTCCCAGGTTCATGCCAATTCTCCTGCCTCAGCTTCCTGTGTAGCTGAGACTACAGGTGCTCACCACAACACCCTGCTATTTTTTTTTTTTTTTTTTTTTTTTTTTTTTTAAGTACAGATAGGGTTTCAACCATGTTGGCCAGACTGGTCTCGAACTCCTGACCTTAGGTGATCCACCTGCCTCAGCTTCCCAAAGTGCTGGGATTACAGGCATGAGCCACCGAGCTCGGCCAAAGGACTCAACATAATTAAGATGTCAGTTCTCCCCAAACTGATCTATAAGTTCAAAACACCACCAATCAAAATCCCAATAGCCACTGGTTAGAAACTGACAAGCTGATAAAAGTTTATTTAGAGATGCAAAGGACCAGAATAGCTAAAACAATTTTGAAAAAGAAGAACAAAGTTGGAAGATTCATACTATCGAATGTCAAAATTTGCAGTAAAACCATAGTAATCAAAACAATATGGCATTGGCATTAGACCAGACAACAGATAGAACAGACTCCAGATATAGATCCCCAAATATATGTTCAGTTCATTTTTGACAAAGTGCCAGGGTAATTTAATGGGAGAAAAGGAAATATAAATCAAAGGAAAAAGAAGATATTCCACACACTTACTAAATAGCTAAAATCAGAAACACTTATAATTCCAAGCACTGGCAAGGATGTGGAGCAAATGGAGCCCTCATACACTCCTAGAGGGAATGCAAAATTGTACAGTCCCTTTAGAAAATAGTTTGGAAATTTCTTATAATGTTAAATATACACTTTTCATAGAACCAGCAATCCTACTCCTACATTTTACCCAAGAGAACTAAAAATTATGCCAAGGATTATATGTGAATGATCACGGCAGCTTTATTCATAATAGCCTAAAACTAAATACGTCACCAAATGGGAATGGAAAAAACAGTACATATTACACTAGAATATTACTCAGCAATAAAAACGAGCAAATTGCTTATATATGAACAACATGGGTGAATCCCAAAAACATTATCCTACAGAAAGGACACAGCCACAGCAGGGTACCTACTAAATATCAATGTCACTAATACCACATTCTAGAAACTATAACATTATAGGATCTAAAAACAAGTAAGTGGTTGCCAGGACCTGGGGATGGAGAGAAAGGGATTGATCACAATGGGGCAAGGAAAATCTTCAGGGTGTTGGACATGTCCTACATCTTGACTGTGATGGTGGTTATCTGACTGTATATTTGTAAGAACTCACTGGTTATATGCCTAAAAATAAACCATGGGATAAGAATGACTACATAAAAAACAAGTAAAAGAGGCCGGACGCAGTGGCTGATGCCTATAAAAGCAACACTTTGGGAGGCTGAGGCAGGCGGATCACGAGGTCAGGAGATCAAGACCATCCTTGCTAACGTGATGAAACCTGGTCTCTACTAAAAATACAAAAATTAGCTGGTGTGGTGGCGCATGCCTGTAATCCCAGCTACTCAGAGGCTGAGGCACAAGAGGCTGAGGCACGAAAATTGCTCGAACCCAGGAGGTGGAGGCTGCAGTGAGACGAGGTCGCACTACTGCACTTCAGCATGAAGATAGCGCCAGATTCCGTCTCCGAAAAAAAAGTAAAACGTTTTTTCTTTTCTTTCTTGTTTTTTTGGAGATGGAATCACACTCTGTCATTCACCCTGGAGTGCAGTGGCACAACTTCAGCTCACTGCAACCTCCACCTCCTGGGTTCAAGTAATTCTCCTGCTTCAGCCTACCAAGTAGCTGGGATTAGAGGTGTGTACCACCACGCCTAGCTAATTTTTGTATTTAGTAGAGATGGGATTTAACCATGTTGGCCAAGCTGGTCTCGAACTCCTAACCTCCAGTGATCCACCTGCCTCGGCCTCCCAAAGTGCTGGGATTACAGGCATGAGCCACCACACCAGCCTTTTTTTTTTTTTGGAGACAGGGTCTTACTCTGTCATCGAGGCTGAAGTGCGGTAACACAAAAAGGGCTCACTGCAGCTTCTACTTCCCAGGCTCAAGCAACCCTCCTGCCTCAGCCCCACCAAGAAGCTGGGACTACTGGTGTATGCCACTACACCTAGCTAATTTTTGTATTTTTTTTTTAAGAGACAGGATTTTGCCATGTTGCCCAGGCTAGTCTTGAACTCCTGAGCTCAAGCTATTGCCCACCTCAGCCTCCCAAAGTGCTAGGATTATAGATGTAAGCCACCACTCCTAGCATCAACCAGACTTTTATAAAATTAAAATTCTATAATGCAAGTCTGCTAGGGAACCTCCCTACCCCCAGAATAAAGGTAGTTCCTACCCCAAAATGATCAGGACTTTCACCTAAACTCTAGCTACTCTAATCATGGTCCAGAGATAAGAAGTAACATGAGCACAACCCCGGGAGGTCTTAGAAAAAGGCAAAAACCCTCAACCTAGACTTACAGAATCCAAAGTTGCATATTATCATGACTTCCAGGTGATTCCTATGCACAAAATACTTAGTATATGCTCATCTATCTCTACTGCTGCAATACATCAGGAAAAAAAAAAAATCAGCCAAGAACTCACCTGTCCATATAAATAATCTGAGGAAATTCCAGCTTATTGTGAATTTTCTCTGGCTGACCAAGGGACTGATTAAACTCAAATCTTGAGAGTTCAAAGGTCAACACTGGAGGTAGCTTTGTAAACCAACGCTAGTGTCAAGAGTAGAAATGTGAGAAAAAGAAAAATTAATTTTAGGAAATAACAATAGCCAGATTTAAAATATCCCTCATCAGACTTTCTTCCTTTGGTATAGAACTTATACTCAAGTCAAGCTCAGGCTAGAACTTTAACACTAAAGGAAATGAATACTTAGACTCACACTCTTAGAGAATATGGTTCAACATTCCTCAAGACTCCAAATTTACTAGCCAGTCAATCATCATCCTCAGAATAAACCACCCTTGAATATGTAAAGTGCACTAAGCCTCTACACAACTCATTCATTACATCATCAGTATTCAAAAGAGGTTTAAAAAGTTAAGAAAACAGCAAGCCTAATTGCAGAATATGAAATTTTGATCTAAGCAGCATGTAGCTAAAGTGAAAACTAACTCCATGGGTTAGCTAAAAAGACTAATATGAGTACATATATTACACGCTGTTTGTTTAGTCTATTAACCATAATTTGAATCTCCTTTATGTATACAAAGGAAAGTTGAAATAGCCTCATGGTTTTATAATTTCTCAATTTCTCAGAAAAATTTCTGAATTCCAAAAATTCACAGAGGTCTCATAAAGACGCCAGTTAAACCAACCTACAATGTTAACTGAGTTTCAAGAAAGGAAGGTACTGACAAAAAAGACTCAACAGTCAAGGATCACAGGTGAGGAAAAGCTAAATCGGAATTGGCTTTTCTATTCAATTCACTCATATGTCTGAAGTTCCTGTGAACAGCTTTAAAATGTTCCCTTTACCAAACGTGCAAGCAGCATTCCCTTCAGATACCCTGTTAGCATAATGAGGTGAATTCAGATAGCCTGTGAGACCACCTCAAGGTGAAATCTAAGTGAGCATGATGATTTTGTTTCTGTTTAATTTTTATAGAGTTTCCATCCTAGAATACAAGTGTCCACAGGTCTAAGTATAGCTGGTGAACATTCCCTCTTTTCTAAGAGGATGCACCAGGTCTTCTGCACAGATGGTACAGATAGCATAATTCCTACATTAGGAATCACTTATTTCCTTGAACAGCCAGGGACGCAGTAGCTCTCTCTGAGTTCCAACACTGCTCTACAGTGAATGTATTTTCATAGGGCTCATGTTAGGCTACCTGTTTCAGTTCAGGAAAGCTCCACTGTCTCCTAAAGTAATTAATGAGTTGGGCTCATATATAAGCCACAGTTTTGTCTCAAAACATACGATCAGTGGAGAATAATCCCAACTGTGTAGTGTTAAGAATTATGTTACAAATGCAGTTCACTAATTCTTAACCCAACTGGAATGAATATTGAGATGTTAACTACCCATACTCTCCCTATAACTTCCCCCCTTTCTTTCCAACCCACAAAAATAGATAAATAAACAAATGAAAATTAAATTTTAAAAATGTTAAAAGCAAAGGCAGAATTTACAATTGAGAACAGTAAATACTATAATAGGGAAAATATTCTAAATGGCATACCATAGGAGTTAATCACTGTACTTTTACCCTCCGAAAATATGGAGGCAGTGGGTTCTCCCTACTCAGGTACAGGTAGGCTTCAACAGAAAGAGAGAAACTTGATCATACTTAAAACATCAGAAGCAGCATACAACCTTTACACGAGTAACTCAAATTCATAGTTTTAGTAAAAATTTTATTTATCAAAATACTAATACTCACTGACTCACATCAACTGACGAGACTTAAGACAAATTCAAGCTGTAAGTGTCAAGTTACTTAATATGTGATGGGAAACTAGTCTGCCCAAAAGCTCACTCCTACTTAACTGGCTTTGTCACTGGCAGAGCAAATAAAGATCTCCAACGTACCTCTTGTCCATACTTCACCAAGTGATCAGAGGGAAGAAGCTCAACATCACCCTCCACCATGGCCCCTTCCAAACACTCGTCTAAGTTGCGATAACCGTTTACCTGAAGAGGATACTGGCCGAAGGTCTCATTGTTACAAAAGGGTTTTCCTAGGTAAAGAGAGAGACTTTTTACAAAAGACATCACTATGACTATCTAAAGCCTATCTTCTGGCTCCACAGAGACATTTTAAATTCAGCAACTTCTTGACAGCTGCTTAGAAATGCACTTAAGCCTTTATAGCAACCTCTAATGAGCCAGTTGATGTAGACACGGAACACTGACAACCACTAACACTGAAAAAAGGCCAGGGGTGTGGTAGCTTATGCCTGTAATCCCACCACTTTGGGAAGCCAAGGTGGGAGGATCACTTGAGGCCAGGAGTTTAAGACCAGCCTGGAAAACATAGTGACACCCCTGTTTCTACAAAAAATAAAAATTAGCAGGGTGCAGCAGAGCACACCTTAAGTCCCGGCTACTCAGGAGAATAAGGTGGGAGGATTTCTTGAGCCCAGAAGTCCAAGGTTACAGTGAGCTATGATGATGCCACTGCGCTACAACCTGGGCAAGAGAGCAAGAACCTGTCTCAAAAAACAAACAAAAAAACCTGCAAAAAGAAAGACAACCAGATAGTATGTGCTTCTTGATCAAGGGTTTTCTCACCACCTGTCAATTAGTCTTGCCAAAAAAAGCCTTACGTAAGTCTAGTCAAATCTCTAGACACAACTAACTACCAATTAATTTATAAGAGATGAGTAGAGAAGAACATGGGAATATGTTAAAAATGTATGAGGGGACATGCAAACAGCAAAATTTCTGACCATGGGAAATGCTACAGAACAACCAACCCAGATTCTCCAAAAATTCAGCATTTCAAGGAAAAAAGGATGGAGGGGTAGCTTACAAATATTCAATCATAAATCACACTGGGGTCCTCATTAAAACAACTCTGAAAATAAATTTTCTGTTTTTTAAATTATGAAAACAAATTAGTAATTTGAACACTGACTAGATAGTTGATAGTTTAAAATGCCATTTTTCAGAGTCATACTGGTACTGGATTATGTTTTAAAAAGAATATCAGATTGGTAAGAGTGACAGGGTGAGAAGAGGAATGACTGGCTGTGAGCTAAGGCTGGGTTCATGGAGGTTTTAAAATGGCTCGATTTGAATGTATTCTAAATTCTCCATAATTAAAAATAAATTATGTGTCTAGTATGCAGCTTAGTTAGATAAGCCTCCAGAGTGAAAAGTCTCTATTCTAGAAAAACATTTTTGGCAGTCTCACCCAATAAAAGCTTTTGAGATTAGGTATTATATCAGAATAAGCAACACAGAGAAAACTGAGTAAAATCACTATCCGACATTAATGTCAGATTTGGGCTGTGCAAGTATTAACATGACAAATCTGAGATAAAGATCGGGCACATTTAACAGATGAAGAGACTGAGGATCCAGAAGCTCACATAGTTTGTCCAAAGTTAACAGATACCAAGAGGCAGAACCAATATTCAGACCTGGGTATCACTGACTCTTAAGACTATTCATTATACTGTCTCCTCAAAGGGACACAGTAATAAAGATATGATCACAGGTCTAGAATTAAAATTCAGAGCAGAGAATTTACCTTCACGAACCCCTTCAGTCAGGAAAGTACCATAGAAGAGCTGCACCATTGGATTTTCAGATTTGTTCCTGGGACTGCTGCTTTTAGGAAAAGGAGACAATTCTGGATTGTTTGGATTAAGATATGTGCTACATAAAATCCAAGCATCATTCAAAAACAAAAATAGTGCATTTTCATCAAACCCCAAAGAGCCAGGTATGATCTAAATAAGCAACTATTAGTTCAGTTCAAATATTTATTGAACACTTTCTTCCTAGCATTGTGCTAAACTCTGAAGACTCAAAGACAAGAAGGCACAATCCCTGGACTTAAAGAAATTAAAGCCTAATAGCAGAGTCATACTTGCAGACAAATACAGGTATTTGTATGCTTTCACTATATACATCTATATCCAATGATAGATGTACACAAGGTATAGAAGTAGTATAAAGGTAAGAATGAACTCTCTTGTGTAGTTTTACAAATAAATACAAAAAACTTTTCTCCCTAGCATAATAGAATAAAAAGTTTCTTCTTACAAGTCCATCTTAAATTGTTAACTATGTTAAGTTGCTGTTTGCAAAACCATTTCATAGTTATAAGTCTTCTACCTAGAATTGAAATGATTTAAAACACAGATTTCTCAGAGGGATATCCACATTCTGTGCCCTGAATTTCACTTCTCTCAGTGACTGAAACGACCATAACCTTTTCTCTACACATTCTAAGTAGATCTCAAAAAGGATCTTAGATTAAATTTAAGTATTCATATTATACCACCATGTTCACAACAGAGATTGATTTGACCTTTTTACAAACACATTTTTACAGCACATGCTGAGTTTAACAAAGTTAACAATTATGGTTCTTTAGTTAAAAAAAAAAAAAAAAGCTGCAGGGTAAGATGATTGCTATATCCCTATATCCGTAGAGGGGAAAGCTGAAGGCGGCAGGGATATACCATGAGTGTACTACCTCAGTGGCTATCCCAGGAGATATGGTTCAAAACCAGCAATTTCTACTTAAGGAGAGTAACTTTCCAGCGTATAATTCTCACTGGCCCACTGTGAGTCGGAAGGATGTACAAACAAACCCTCAACACTCACTTAACATTAACAGCTAGCTGGAATGCGTCCTCTAGCCAATCCAGGAGCTTGTGTGTGAATTCACTCACATCTTGCTATAAGAGAGGCACAAATTGCATAAAAGTTAGACGCAATACTAAGAAATGAAAATTTATCCTTATCCCACCAATGAATTAAGATTCTACTACTATAAAAGCATTTCTTTTTTTTTTTTTTTTCTTTTTTCTTTTTCTGAGACAGGGTCTCACTCTGTTGCTCAGATTGGAGTGCAGTGGCGTGATCTCAGCTCACGGCAACCTCCGCCTCCCAGGCTCAAATGATTCTCCTGCCTCAGCCTCCCAAGTAGCTGGGATTACAGGCACATGCCACCATGCCCAGCTGATTTTTGTATTTTTAGTACAAATGGGGTTTCACCATGCTGGCCAAGCTGGTCTTCAACTCCTGACCTCAAATGATCCACCCACCTTGTCCTCCCAAAGTGCTGGGTTTACAGGCATTAGCTACTGTGCCCAACCTAAAAGCATTTTTGGAGGCCGAATATCATGAAGATATACGAACACTGAAACCCAGATTTAAAAAAGGTACATTAAGCAATCTCTAAGTTGTAGCTAGAAGGAGGTTGGAACTCTACTACTTCCAGCCACATCTATTTATGACAAAGAAAGAAAAAGAAACAAAATCTCCCAAGTAGGCCTTTTTAAGAAGAAGGCCCAAGGAATAGACTATAGTTCTCTAGAACAATATAGAGATCTGTATAAAGAAAGAAATGTTTTGAGAATTTTATAGAACTGTAGGACTTTCAAACAGAGAAAGAAAAAAATTATATGAGCAAGAAGCTGATCTAATCAGTGACAGCTTTGTTTTTGTTTTTAAATTATTTTTTCAGAGATGGGGTCTCACTCTGTCACCCAGGCTGCAGTACAGTAGCGCAATCACAATTTATTGCAGCCTCAAAGTCCTGGGCTCCAGGGATCCTCCCACCTCCGCCTCCCAAGTAACTGGGACCACAGGCGTGTACCACCATGCCCAGCTATTTTTTAACAGCAGGTGGAGAAAGAAAAGTCTAAAAGAGAGAAGTTGCTGAGAAAAGCTCCTGAGCTCAGATTTAGTTTTAAAACTAGGATTTCCATCTGGACCATTCCAAGACAAAGGTGCAGACAAAGGACTACTTTGCTTGGTATCCCTTTTGTTATAGCTCATTGAGGTATTTTCCAAACTCCTCCTTTTCTACATCAATAACCCCCGTATAATTCTATATTCTTTCTACTACTATTTCTTCTCTTTACAACTGCCAGACCCCGTGCAACACACGCACAATCTCTCTCACATACACATCTGCTTTCCCTCTCACCACCTGTTCTGTAGGCAAAATAAAAGTCAGAAACAGGTGCTCCTAGTCCTACTTAGTCATGTTCACAACTTGTTATGCAGTTGAAATAAAGCAGTACCACATTAATATTGACAAGGCATGACTTCGAACTCAAGAGCAAGGCTTCTTTGATACCTGCTGTTCCTCAGATGATCGGAATGCTCCCTTTAATAGATCCAGGGCTGCAGACGGGTCTACAAATTTTCTATTTGATCCCATCATTAAAGCAAACAAATACTGAAGCTCTTGCATAAACATGATATTTCTCTTTTCCTGTAGAAAACACAGCACATGTACTCTTAGAACAGCTCATTTAGAAAATTAGAACATATAAAGGAAAAAAAGTTGTCAATAATCATGCCCCCATTTATATTTATCTAGATCTAAGTAAAAGTTACAGGGCTACATATGTTACAGTGACTCTGGTAAGGACTGTACTCTAAACTGAAAAATAACTATGTAGAAACCAGAGACAGCACTATTAGAAAACAGAAATGCCCACTTTCTGAAGCTGCTGCCCTCCCTCTAAAGAGGAAAAGGCATTGCACCAAGGTGAAATCCTGGGAAGGGTTAAATTGCTGGGAGGAGGATCGACCTTTGGCAAAAAAAGAATAAAACAGACTAAGAAGGTTCAGGTCTCTGGCATCAAGGTATCTCTCCAGCATCACATGGCCTAAGCAGCTCAGGAAGAGAAAGGATACAACAAACACAGGTATTCGGGATCTCCCACCCACATATTCTTGGAGCCAGTTTTCTCATTTTATTCCTACTTGATTTTACATTTTGCATACCCTTATATGTTACCCCAAAAAAAGAAAAGGCACGTAGAAAAAGAAAAGGCATGTAGAAAGTATTAGCACAAGCCAAAGAGTATCATGGATATCAGCTTTAGGAAAAAATCTAGAAGCCCTGGGGGTAAAAGTGACTAATCAACAGTGAAGAAATTCCTCGATACCAACTTACTGTGTGACTTCGACAATTTTCAAGTACATTTTGTGGCAGACTATAGCTGAGAACAAGTCTTCGAAATTCAGACAATTGAAAGAGAGACTGAAATAAAGAAAGAAAGGGATTCATAGCCTTTCCTCAAAGTAACTGCAGCAATGTATATATTTTTCACTTTAAATATTTTATTTCATATTTAAAAGTATGCAAAACTATCAATCTAGCAATTCAACTTATATTATTTCTAAGGAAATAATGGTTGTGCACAAAAAAATTAGCTAAAATAATACTAATACTTTTAGATAAAAAATAGAAACAACCTAATGTCTAGCAAAAGGAGTAGTTTTTGTTTTGTTTTGTTTTGTTTTGCTTTTGCTTTTGTAGAGACAGGGACTTCTATGTTGCCCAGGCTGGTTTCAAATTTCTGAGCTCAAGTGATCTGCCTGCTTTGGCCTCCCAAAGTGCTGAGATTATAGACATGAGCCACCATGCTTGGCCGTAGTTTAAATAAACTGTACCACATTTATACAATAGACTATTAAGTAGTCATTGAGATAATACTGTAAAACGTATTTATAAAATGAGTTACTATATAGCAGGGAAAATGGAAAAAAAAAAAAAAACAACAAGAGCTAATTGTATCAACATGGATAAACCTCAAAAATATATTTTGAGTGAAAAAAGTTACAGAAAAAAGTATTATACTGGCCAGGTACAGTGGCTCACGCCTATAATCCTGGCACTTTGGGAGGCTGAGGCATGAGAATCACAAGGTCAGGAGTTTGAGACCAGCCTGGCCAATATGGTGAAACCCCATCTCTACTAAAAATACAAAAAATGTTAGCTGGGCATGGTGGAGGGTACCTGTTTCCAGCTACTCGGGAGACTGAGGCAGTAAGATTGCTTGAACCCAGGAGGCAGAGGTTGCAGTAAGCCGAGACTGCACCACTGCACTGAAGCCTGGGCAACAGAGTGAGACTCGGTCTCAAAAAAAAAAAAAAGTATTATACTGCTTATATTAAGATTAGTAACATGTAAAACAATACTACATATTGTTTGGGGATACATACATGTGTGGTTATGTCTGTGGGAAAGGGATGATGTCACAACAGGGACTCAACAGAACAGAAATTTGAATGTTAATTTTTTAAGCCAGGTGGTGAGTACAGCAGTGTTGACTATTCTCCACTCTTTGTCATAATAATGTATTTTTTAAAAGTTTAACAGCAGATATCCCTGGCTAGTAGAATTGAAGAGAGGGATTCTTTTTATTATTTGCAAATCACATTTTTCTATTATGAATATCTTTCATAAGTTAATTTTTAAAAAACTCTTGTATGAATATATAATTCCTCATCCTAACATGCTCCTCAAATGAAAACTCTCTCAGGCCTGCATGGTGGAAATCTTGAAGCAGCATCCTAGGTAGATAAAAGGCAAAACTTTGCAATTAGAACTAAATAAAACACATTCTTGGTATTCTAAAAGCCTCAGGTATATTTATTAATGTCAATCAAAGAATCAAAGTGTCAGTATCTGACTAGAGCCCATGTGCACCTCTCTGGCTTCCTTCACTCTAGCATAAGCCATGGTGGGATTCAGCCAACAGGGTGAGTGTTCACCTGGACTGGAGTGTAAAACCAGGTCATGCTGCTGCACCAAAGTTCTCTCAGGAGCCAGGACTTGGCTGGTGAGCTCTATCCTGAGCCACTCTCTTCTCTTCCACCTCACCTGTCTACCTGACACCTGCATTCCTACCCTGCTGGCTACCCTGTGACATTCTCAAGTTTCTGTTCCACTGTGAGAAAAATGGCTTTACATGCTTGGCCACTTAACTCCACCTCTTTGTCATCATGAAAATCGGACCATCCCCAAAGATGCCATTGTTCTTAAAAATCACAGTAAATGTGAGCTAATACTACTCACATCTCCCAACTTATTATCTATCTAACAGGTGCTGCTTCTGTGTTCTCTGCATCACTTCATTATATCCTCCTCCAGTCACCAAAGTTTAGAAGTGCAGAAAAATCCTTGAATCTTTCTCCTAATCATTCACATCCAATGACTAACAGGTCCCTTGGCCTCTGCTTCTGGGTACTCTTTATAACCTAACTGCTTTCTCCCTACCAGCGCCCCATCAGCTGCTCTACTCCAACTCCCACTGCCACTCACTTGCGTAACTGTATATGGTCTCTCTGCTTCCAGAGCTTCCCTCCACCAACTCACACTTGCCATGCAGCTCCTCGTAACTACCTCCCTAATATGACCAAAATAAAGCTCCCAATTCACTGAAGACTGTCATCTGGTAATAGCTTTCCTCACTCTCCCAAGTCCTGATATCCTCCTAGGTGACTTTGGTCAACATCCAAGCCCTGAGGACATCCTGTCAGTGTTGTCTTGAGAATATACTAAGAACCCCAACTCTTTTCTATTTCCAGGGCTACCAGTCCAGTCCAAGTCACCATCACTCTGCATGGATGACAGCCATGGGTCTCTCTCTGTGCATTCTTGCCCCTCCATCCTGATCTCCTCACAGAAGCCAGAGTGAGCCTTTTAATACTTGAGCCAGAGTTCATCAGTCTGCCACTGGGGACCTTCGCAGACTCCCTGTCCACTCAGACCCTCATCTCCAGTGACCTTCCCTTTGCTCTTAGCATCCAGCCAATGGGACTCCAGCATGTTCCCTGAATACACCAAACCCAT